AGTCATTTTCTTGACTAGAATGTTTTGACTGACATTAAAACTCAAGTCTTTATAAATTTATAGAAGCAAAATAAAAAACCTTTTCAGTTGCTGCTCCACTATAGTCTTTAAAACAAGATAACATTGCATTCCTGATAAAAGCTGCCATTGCATTAGTGGGAGGTAGGTGGGTAAGAGTACCAAGATTGCTCTAATAAATCATGAATTATGTTTTTACAAATAAAAGATTGGTATGCTTCCATGGTACTGAATGAAAACTGATGACTAAGTGGAAATGGAATAACCACTAATTCCGATTCGACTTTCATATCTTAGCCTATCATTGGCTTAGGTAAACATTAGTCATCCAGAAAATTTGGATAAATCTGTCATTTTTTAAGCCAAAGTGCTTTTTTCACAAATTAGTTCACTAAACCAGCAAAAGGATTTATTCCTTTTAAGACAGAAACTTTAGTGACACAATTAATGTTTTCTGTAGCTCAGATTGAGGTGAAAAATTGTTTCAGTCTGGAGAGTCCTTGTTCTACAAATGCACATGTAAGTCTCTCACTGTTAGACATTACAAACATAAAATAGAAGAGATATGTTTTGAGTAGAGGCAAGGGAAACAAAAGATAAAACAGCTCTATTATCACATCAGTTCAATTTGCAGCAAAGGTATATGTTGAGTCTCTCTAAAACTTCCCTTTATTACCTGCTATTCTCCTTGGATATTTTCTACTGAGTAGTTATAATTTAAAAAGCCCCTTCAGGGCTCTTGTGCTTCTCAAAAGGATGTGTAAAAGTGTCTGTCTCCCAAAATAAATATCTGCAACCAGCATCTTACCTTAGATTACTTGTCAATATGCACTCACTTGGTATTCAGATACTGCATCTAATTTAGACCTGAAGGTGACACAGGTGAGTAATATTTGCAGCAACAAAACAGGAATAAAGCTACAGATGGACTAATTTATTAGTTTAAAAGGGCATCAGCTGGAGAATTACAGCATCTCTTGTAGTCTGGGTACTGTAATCTTTCCTTTTCCTAAGGATCCAAGAATGAAATTCCATGTGTCTTCTGTGAAAAAGAACAAAAGTAGGAGACTTACACCATTTTACTTGTTTTTATAAGATACCTGTGAGATGGCCTGGCTTATATGCACAAATGATGAAAAATTCTCAAGTTAAAGAAATTTTCCTGGCATAAAAATGTGCATGAAAACAGACAAAAATTAGGCATAATAATTAAGGTATTATAAAATAAAAGGCTATGAACTATTACCCAAGAATAATCAAAGAGACATTATTTAGAAGTTGATCTGATGGCTATACCAGAATTTTAGACAGAAGCTGCTATGTATATCTTTATTTTAAAATCTATTTATGGTTTGGGTGTGGGGATGAAGTGCACCCTCAGCAAGTTTGCAGACAACACCAACTTGGGTGGGAGGCACTACAGGGGGACCTGGAGAGGCTGGATCAATGGGCTAAGGCCACTGATGTGGTTCAATAAGATCATGTGTTGGTCCTAGATCTGGGTCACAGCAACCCCATGCAGAGCTACAGAGTGGGGAAAGAATGGCTGGAAATCTGCTGGAGGAAAAGAACCCAGCAGTGCTGGTTAACAGCAGCTGAACATGAGCTGGAGTGGCCACAGAAGGCCACTGTCATCCTGGCCTGTATGAGAACGTGTGGCCAGCAGGACCAGGGCAGTGGTCATCCTGTTGCACTTGGCATTGGTGAGGCTGCACCTCGAATTCTGTGTTCAGGCTACGAGAAAGGTTACAGCTCATTTCCTCAGCCCACAGCTGCAATGAGGGACTTGCAACCATTCATTTTTGAGCAAGTGGGTGTCTAATACTTCTCTCACCAGAGAAGGATGAAATCACCCTTGGTAAAGTTCAAAGAAAGACTCACTACTTTCTCAAAATAATTTTTATTTACCTTGTATCTTTAACCAAGGTGTGCTTAAATGGGTGAAAAACTTTTGAGAAGAGTTAATAATGTGGATGTGTTCCTACAACGAAGAACACAACTTGCAGTTTTGTCCTAGAACAACTTCAATAGTTTCTCAACCTCAGCCTGAAGCAATTTACAAAATAATCACTGTGAAGCAGTCTCCTGTGCCCTATACTGACCTGTCTTTGTCCTGTGGGCAGGAAAACATGCGTATCCCCATGAAGACATAATATTACTTCAAGAAATGACACCGAACTTCGCAATAATGGCCATAAATTTCCCAAGCATATTTTTTGTCTTCCTTTATGATCTCTACCCCACAGCTTTATAGAGTGTGTTGCACTTTATGAAACAGGAAGCTTGGAAATAATCACACAGCTCATGAAATCCTTTTCTGTCAAGTTGCAGTATCCATGGCACCACCATTACATAGCACTGACCACTAAACACATCAGTAGATACTTCAGAGTTGATGGATGAGAGCAACAGGCCAATAATAATTACCCACAGAAAGCTGGTAAGACTGAGGGTAATACCAGTGTTTTAGATTTGTACATCTGATTTGAGGAATTTACTAAACAAAATGCTTTGTTATATACCTACTGAGCCTCAACTTTTGTGGCTCCACCTCAGAGGAAACATTTAGACAGTGCACTGTGTAGCACTCTAAAAGCTATAAGAATTTACAGGTTCAATTTTTAATTTCAGATACGTACATGTGAATAGTTTCTGACTCATGGATAAAGCTGCATCATTTTGAATGGCATTAGTCCATAAAAGGCAGGAGCTAATGTAAATGGCTCAGTTGACCATACCATGAAAGAGTTAATGTACATTATTAACACAGTCTAAATGAAGTTAATAATTTTTTTGTTAGGTACTGAGTAGCAGAGTGTATAGTAGTAGTATCAAGCATATACCATGGGATAATATTTTTCAAATATTCTTTTGTTCAAATAGCTTTCCTTATCTGGCTATCATCCAGCCCTCATATTACTAATTTATTCTAATTCAATTTAATAGAAAATTCAGCTATGTTAAACAAGTTATTTGTACATCTGTAACGGTATTTTCTTGTTCTTTTCCATAACTTGACTGTTGACATAAATTCTTTAGTTCTATTTGTCTCAGAATGCCAAGCTCTCAGGACAGAGAAAAACTAATTTTCATCAAGAAGTTTCACAATAATGAACTATTTATGCCCAGGATGTTCTGGGTCAAAATCCAAGTAAATTTTCTCAGCCATCTACTCATTAATGTGTGGTAATTGTTAATGTCTACTGCCTATTTAAATAATTCATAGAAACAATTTCTTTAACGAGAAGTTACAAATTCATTATTTTTGCCAAACCATACTGATATCAACTTCATTTCACATATAAAAAAGAGCAAATTAGGAACAGAAAAAAGAAAATCTCAATTTGCTTATTCTTTATATTCCTTGAGATATTAGGAACTGAGGCATGAATATGCCATCAGAAGAATGTGCAGAAAAATCAAAGTATTTTAAGATTAAACAGTTGAAACTTAATATTGAGTAAACAATTTCTGTTATTATTAAAATATTCAAACAATTCAAGTTATTATTGGTCACTTAATTTCCTTTGCAACAAATTCACTTTCCTGCTACAGAAAGCACAAAAGTACACAGAGTGGTGCAAGGGCATTTCCTTGTATAAAATGCTTGGCATATTACAGATGCCACAAGAGATACTTAGAGTCTAGCAACAGTAATCATAGTAATAACAGATCTATTGCCTTAGGAAAACACAGTTTAAAAAATCTGGTCAGACCAGTGTGCAAGAAGCTGTAAGTAATGCACTGATGGCATTACATGGCCTATTGCTTGGAGAACACTGCTCCAGGAAATGTCTTCTAATAATGCCATCCCACAGACTGACTTTGCTGCCTTGCTTTTATCACTTGAGTTCTTTTATTTCATTCATCTATATGACTTTTCCTAATGAAGTTTGAAAGCAATCTCCCCTTGAATACAATTGAAGTTATTTAATCTGTTTTTCTCTTGAACCCAAAAAGTAGGAGCTATGAAACTTAAAATTACTGTTCAACAGCTATGAAAAAAAGAACAACCTATCTAACACAAATGCTTCCGTTTCTACAAACAATCAGAAAAATAAATTTCCCCAGCCTGCAACACTGAAAATGAACAAGCCATATACATTCTTTATGGCTTGTTACAGCAAAACACTAGCTACACTTCACCTTTTCCTGACATAGCCATTACACACTTGGGGTTGGATATGAGCAGTACAGCTCAGAGCTGTAGTGAAAGACTTCTGAATCCTACCAAACATCTTGCTGTACTGCACATTACTACTGTATATACATGATGGGTAAGTCTAGTAATGGACTCCAGAGATTATAATTGACAGCCTACATAGGTAATTAACAATAGCTTCCAGAGGTAAAAGTTGCATTATATAACAATTTGATTTTACTTAAACATTCATGACAAAGCACTAGAAGAAAAAATATTACTTTTTTTCTTTTATTTGGAATTCAGATGAACAGTGTTTACAGTATTATGTGGGAAAAGTGCAATCCTAGTTTTTAATGATAGACTTCTCTAAATAACTGTGTTGCAGTTTGATTTGGTATGACTTCAAGGACAAATAAAAACTATTCTTTTGCCTCTGTATAAAATCTGACACATCATTGGGCTGGGTATCATTTTAGACTCATTACATGAAAGATGACCTCATCTATTAGATGAGCCCTATTATACTACACTAAATTTACTAGACGCTATGAAAAAATAGTCATTTTTTCTTCACAAGAGTAATCATATTCACTACAGTGGAATTTCAAATAAGTATAAAGTTTTCAGAAGTGATCTATTTGATAAATAAGCAGTTAGGTATGTTAACTAGGTAACATACCATATGTTAAAGACCCCGTTGGTTGCAAAATCCTGGAAATATGCTGAGATGGAACATGAGCAAAACAAACTCACTAGTCCTGCAGGCACCGGCGGCAGATGATATTTCAATAGAAAGGAAAGAGAAAGCAGTATTTTAGTGGGATGAACAGATCCTCACCTAGTGGCTGTCCTGCGATGATCCTGGCGTTCTCTCCTGCCACCGCGGCCCTGGCATGCCTCTCGCTCATGTACTGTACGAAGGCATAACCTTTGTGCACCGAGCAGCCCACGATCTTCCCGTACTTTGCAAAGATTGCTTCGATGTCACCTTTTTTGACAATAGCTGTGTTCAGATTACCAATGAAGACTCTGGAGTTGATGGACTTTGGGTCGTTCTTATTGGTGACATTGCTGGTCTGTGTTTTGCCAGTCATGGTTGGATCACTTGGCTTTAAACCTTAAATAAAGAACAAAGAGAATTATGTTTCTAAGCATACAGTTACCCTGACTTTGGATGATTTTTCCAGCAATAATTAACTTTTAATTTTTCACTTTGGGTGCATCTGAACTCAGAAGAATCAAACTATCAATAAAATCAACATAGCACATTTTAAAATACTGCTCAAAAGTAAAATTTAAACTTCTTATTTTTTATAGATGTGAAATATACCAATACATCACTTAATATAATGCTGTGATAGCAGAGCTTTACTGTAATCATATGTGGATTTCTCCTTAGAAATTCAATATTGACTTTTTAAGTACTTAGCCAACTAGAAACTGCAAAGCAAGAGACTGAATCATTATCTACTGTCAAAGAAATGAACATTCAAGGCCATGTAGAGAGCAAACTCTTAAAATGAAAAACAACTCTGCTTTTGTTTGGTGTCAGTTAGAGCACATTTCTCACCAGTTAAATATTGCTGTGAGGTGTGCAAGGCAGGTAACATACAATTCTTTACTGCAATCAATATGTTTCTATCAGAACAATTTTCCCTGTAAATTCAGTACAAAAAAAGAAGTGAGAAAAGACAGCGACTTATGTTCTGAGAATTAAAAAGTAGAAAAATAAATCACTTTAACTCTAGGAACACAGATTGTCTTGCTTCTTTGCTCTTTTTTTTGTGAGGTCACAAGTAGAAATATATTCTAGTAAAGCTCTGATGGGAATAACCACATTATTTCTGGGAAAGATTTGGTAAAAGAAGGAAAAAAATCTCAACACTTCTTGAGTTCATCTAGCCTCACCCCTCTGAAGTGCATGTAATTTTCATAATTTGTATGCAAATTCCACCTGCCAGCAGGTCTCTCTATTTACATCAATTTACTTGGATGGAAATTAAATAAAAGAAATTGTCCCACATCTGCACTGCATTTTCTTTAGCTTTAGTAGGCCAAAGAAATGTCAAAAATATGCATAGCTTTAAGTAGAGAAAACTTATTTTGTAAGAAAAAGGTCATTTAGGCAACAGTCAAATATAGGCCATATCTTACAGCCAAGAACTCTGTTACTATTTTTTAACCTGTTCTTACTTTTGATTAGATCAGAGTAACAACTCAGGCAAGAAGAGAATCTATTTATATACTTTTCACAGTTAAATCTTAGTTCATTCCTCAGACTGAAAAGGTATAATAACCTCTATTCCAAACATCTAAATCGGAAGTTTTGTATTTTAAATCAGTAGCAACCATATATGAAGCTAGAAAAAGGAACCATTGTCACTGATTGTCCGCAGAATACCTGCTGAACAAAACTGCCACAGTCACAGCCATCAGCACTTTGACTGCCTCCATCCCAGAGGATCCAAACCCCACCTTCCAGACGAGAACATACAACACAGATGTATGGGCAGTCCTCCTAAGTCTCAGCAAAACAGCCTGCTTTATTAAATGAATGTATGCAGCAGAGCTGCCGGTCAAATAGCTTAACAACTCAGCATGGCAACTTTATGTTACAGCATTTAGAGAAAGTAATGAAGAAAATAAGAAAAAGGGTGTTTTCCTCTAAATTTATGTATTTTTAAATACATTGTGGAACCATAATGTACTGTATATATGCACAAATTTCATCCTGGAAAACCAGGAAAATTGCCTTGAACACAAACCTCTGACCTTTATCATAAGACAAATTCAATACTGTATATTTCTATGTTGCTGTGCAGATTATGCATGTTTGATGTCATATCTGTATATAGCTAATTTGAATATTGGGAACATTCAATGTATTATACTTAATACTTTAATAATATAAATGCAAATAATTTACAAAATGTAAATATAATGAATACTAAGATCCATTTTGGCATAGACTGCTGATGTTTTCTGAGGCCCAGTAATTTTATGTTACACAGGAGTCAAAATGAAAACAGCACAGACATGTTAGCTTAAAGAGCCCTACTGACCCAAACTGGAGAGGTAACACAGTAGAGTAACAAGGTATAAAAGTAACAAAGTATAAGAATAAAAAGGTTAGTGCAGTTGCTGATGGACAGGGAACATCTGGTATCCCCTGTGCTGTTGAGTTGCGCAGCACTTCAAATACCACTCTATTGGGAAAACTTTCCATGGAGAGTATTGTGTTTATCTTTGTGAAGCTCCAGGGGAAAAAAGCTGTATCTGTTCTTACACAGTTCTTAGCATCTTGTTAATACTATGTACATTTATTGAGCCTGTAGCTGAAGTTATTTTACTAAACACTTATTTTATCACAAATATGACTGACTGTCTCTTCCACTAAATTGCTGCATGGCTTTTCAGTAAGATGCTTTTAGTGCCTCTGTTTCCACTTTTTAATATTCAGACCAGCATTTTTTTGACTAAGTACTGTCTCAATTTTTTTTTTTATATAACTTCTAACACAAGATGTGACCTCAGCTGGAAGTTTAAGCATGACCAAGAGACCATTAAAAAAAATCCATGGAGAAAAAGATCTACAGAAAATCTGCCAGAAGTCAAGACTCCTATGAAAATTATATACAAATAAACACTTTATTACCACCAATGTTTTCTACCACATGTATTACCACCGCAATGTTTTCTAAACACTCTACTGCACTCTGTATTTCTTCTGTTGTTTAGCCATTTAACATGGGATTTGGTGAACTATTGTTATTTCATAAAAATACTCATTTTTGCCCAGTTTTTCTATGTACTATTTTAAATAGACTTTGAATAGGACATTGAATATTTCTCTGTTGTAGTTGTTCTTTGCAATGCAAATTTACAATATTTTTGTAACACAAAGAAAAGTAGTTGTCTGGTGGGTTCTCACATATTCAAATGAGCAGTTAGGAAAACGTGCTGCAGAAATTCAAAGGGTGCAAATAATACTAACATGAATGACTGAGATTTGATTGCCTTGCTGGTCACAATACAACTGAATATTTCATTAAAAAATCAAAGATCTGTGGGATCTTCATTACAATGTGAAAGAATTTATGGCAGCTTCTGCACCTCACTTTCAATATACATCTGTGAATATTGAATTATACCCATAATCTCTGAGCTACCAGCAAAATCACAAACATTGTACCTCATACAAATGCAGAAATAAATGAAATAGTGAGAGAAACATATCTGAAATAATCGTGTTTCCTTGTAGATTTAATAAGGTATCTCGCAAATTTCCTATTATTCAAGTGATACTTTCTGGTAATAAATACCTCCTATATGACAAGTATGTCTTTTAAATGTGGTTTACAAATAACATTTAGCTGTTAGTGCACTTCATATTTATTTATTCAGTGCACTTCATTACATATATCGTTCTATGCAGTAGCTGATTTAATTATTCTAGCAAGAAGTAACTAGTTTGTCTTGGTATAGTTAAAAAGAAAACTTATAAATTAGGTCATTTCATACATCTATAAAATTCTTTCTTAAACATTAACATTTCTTAAACATTGACATTTCTATGTCAAACCAGAATGAAAATACAAGTTGCTAAAATGAGATTCCTATCATGCAAGACATAAAGTTTAAACCAGTCAATTTGAAGTGCAAAAGAGGGGAGTAGAATTTAAGTCTTGGCTTTCTTCACTTTTCCAGCATTTTCTGACAAAGTTTGGCTAAGCACCAGCAGGACAATGCATTGCTTTATCACTGTGAAACTCATCATCTTTCCATAAAATGTGTATGTGTAGGCGCAGCTCCATGTCACAGCTGCTTCCCCTCTGGGGCTGTGCCTGGCACCAGGGGAAGACAACAACCCTTTCCAGTTGTGCCATGGGCCAGTGCACGGAAAACACAAAACTTGAAGCAAAGAAAAAAGGAACAACTTGTCAAACTCTACATTCCTGTAACTCCCAAGCTTTTCTTTTAGGGAGTAGGGTCAAGACACGATCATAAAAGTCCTGTTGGACTTCTGCTCCCTGCGCTGCTCTATGCACTATCACAATGATTCCTCACACAGTAAAATGCAAAATTTGCCTTTGAACTGATTTGGTAAAATTGCAAGAAAAATGTAAAGCTATATACAATTTGAGGATATAAGTTAAAGGGGTTTTGAAAGCAATTCACTTCAGCATTTTCCAATTGTACAACTGTTTCTTATTTTAAAATACTGAGAGGAACACATGCCCTCTAATTAAAATTTCTACCACGTACTGAAATATTGTCTCTGGAATTGATTGTCCTTATGCATTTTCCTATGCTGAATTTACCAACGAGGCTAATCTGCAACAACTCTGTTATAATTAGAAAAATCAGATAAATCTTGTTAGAAGGCTAGGAAATATTTATATTGATGACTTGGGTTTTCTCTCTTACTATTTTCTCTCATTTTTATTTTTTTCTTAAGATTTATACCTAATTTTGCTTTAAAAAAATTGTCTTCATTAAGTTTAGTAATACTTTCAGGAGTTTCTATGTATTTATGTTCTTTCATCTTGGAACTGTTTCTTTCCTTTCAACAATAAAACTTTTTACCTAAGTAGAGAAGAGTCTATGTATTGGAATAAACTAAGTATTACTTGCAGTGTCTTTAGGAAAAAATAGGGTCTACTGAGGAAAAATAGAAATAACAAAATTGAAAATCTTTAAGAAATATAAATCCTCTCTGAAAATTAAATAAAACTGTGCTACTTTTATAGATATTTATGTATTTATATTTTTAAAAAGGAAACAGGAAAAAATAAAATTCACTTTCATTTCCCTTCTCCATGCCCCATCTTCCCCCCCACCCCAAAAAAAAAAAAAATCATTTTGTGATCATGTTTAGAGCTGGGCCAGTAAGTAATGAACAGCCTGTATTAGATTTATGTGATAGCAAAAGAGTAATTCTGTAGAGGATTATTTTTAATATCAAAATTTCCATCACTGACAAGTTACTCTAAACACCATTAAATTCCAAATCTAAATTTTTGCTATTTATTATAAGATGCTTTCAAACAGATTCATAGTGCACAACTGATTATTGCAAATCCTTCTTAAAAAGATAAAGCCCTTAACAGACACAGG